CTCTTCAGACATCCAATTGTGAAATGATTCTTACGAAATTTTTAGCAATGTTGATCGGTTTTTTTTTCTAATTCTTTTTTTTTCAGAATATGTTTAGCCTTCTTCATTTGGGAAAAGGAACAATCGAGTACAATGAAGACATTAGTAAATCTGGACACATTTGTGTGAGTTGGAATGGTGATCCACGAGCTTTGGTGAATAGCTGGATTCAGCTTAGGATTCCTCTAAGCTTGAGAGATAGAGACGATGAGTTTCTCATATTCTTGGTGAAAAATCATATCAGGCCGATACACATTTTAGAAAGTTTTAGTTACCGGATTAAATGAATTGTAGATTTGAGGACAATGAGTATTGGAGATATTAGAGCTAACGAAATAGATCTCACATGGAGCTTATCAGTGATAACCCAACAAGCATGGAGCCAACGAAATAGTCATGCAGCAGTAACTTTGAAGGTTTATCAATGATAACCCAACTAGCATTTGAAGTTGTCGTTCGAAGTCCGTACAATTTCATTTCATCAGAGAGGTGCCTTCGGATCCTTCTATTTAGCTTATTAATTTAACTCCTTCGTGTTGGGTAAGAGGTTCCATCTGATATGGCGATCAGGTGTGCATATATGCAGTATGCCTCCATGCTTATTGACGAGGATAGGATGTTGAAGCGTTTGTATAATTCATACATCGTTACTTGCTACAATGACCTAATCACTCCATTTGTTTAATTTATTGCTTGAATATTGTTCTGGCCAAAATTATCTAACTTCATCATCGACAATGGATGGTCCTTAGATAATCATGTCAAGTTCTTTGCTAATTGCATCTTACAAGGCATCCAACATATTCACTCAAAGAAAAGTATTCATTGTGATATTAAGACATACAACATTCTTTTTTAGCTAATGAAGGATGAATATTTTGATTATTGCGCGGATGTATGGAGATATGGGTGTACGATTTTAAAAATGCTTACCGGCATTGGGCTTGGTGTTAACAAGGATAGCTTAACCATGTACGTTGGAAGACTTCAATAGGTGGGAGCAACCTAATTTTGTATATACCATATTGGTTATCAGACAAAACACATAATTTTTTATACAAATGTTTGGCGAGGGATCCCCTGGAATGGTGTTGAGTTGAACTATTATTTACTCATCCGTTTTTTACAGGATAACCTCAAGACTCAAGAAAGGCCAACTTGATGTAGTGTTATGCTCTTCATCTTTCCATCCAATCAAATCAATTAGTTAAATTCGCTGTAAAGTGTTTTTATTATATTTGTATTATAAGGGTATTGTGTCTGAGGAAGACTCGATCCAATTATGTTTTAATCGAGGAATACTCGTTTGGTGGGTTGAGAGAGAGCTAGAATTTATATTTGCGAATCACTGCTTAATTTCAACTTGCAATTACATGTATATGATTGTTTATGAGTATGGGTTAATGAGAGTTCTCACTTTACTCTATAAATTATTGCATGGCACAACTATACCTTTTCCAAGAGAGCTATCACGAGCTGAATGACAAGTTACTCGAGTAAACTGAGAAGTTTCTCGAGCAATCATCATTAAGTCATGAAATAGAGGTATGGTTGTTGTTGATGTTAGCTTCTATCTACCCGAATAAACTAGGAATTGTTATGTTAGCTTCTACCTATTTCTTTTATACTCTCTTGCTTTGTTGTTGTTGGAGTGGATTTATTCGCAATGTTGGCTTTGTTGTCATATTCTTTTGAACAATTCCTCTTTTGGTGAGATTAACTAATCTACAGAATCTTGCGTGTCCAAAAAAAAATGGTTACACATATCAAAATCTCATAGTTATAAGTGGGATGCATGCAAATTCCCTAGATATGAAAGGGAGATCTATACTCGGAGGAACAGAGTTAAGCTATCTTAGTTTGTTCTTCTTCCACCGCAACAAAATCAAATATCTCATAGTTATAATCTTAGAAATATCCAAATCTTATAGTTTTAAGTGGGATGCATGCAAATTCTCTAGCCATGAAAGAGGGAGGCAAAGAACATTCAAGGAAATCTATACACGAAGGAACAGAGTTAAGCTGTCTTAGTTTGTTCTTCTTCCACCACAGCAAAATCAAGCCCGGATATCTTCATTGGCCCAATGTTAACTGCAAAAACCACAAATCAGTGTGTTGATCCAACAAAAGAAGAAACCATAATGTAATGAAATGGAACAAGAAGAAACTGTTGGTTATACGTACTAACAGCATCAAGTCCAGATAATTTGGGCATAAACTGTTTGATATGGTCCTCTGCTGCTTTCTCTGCCTTCAATGTCTCACACTCAAACGAAACAGATACTTTCTTTTTTCCGTGCTTTTGTTCGACTAATCCTATCACATCTTCCTCCCAACTATTCAAAGACAAGTGATAACCTTAGCTCAGCCATATTCATTCATTAGCCACAAGACAGTAAAAGACTCGAACAAAAGGGTTTAATATCCAACTCATTCACATGTTTTCTCTAAAAAGCTATAAGCTTTATGAGTTTCCCACTCCAGATTTAGTAAAAGAATCACCGAAACAAATGTTTCACTGGTTAATATAGCTTTGTTCCTGCATAACAGATGCTAGACAAGGATGACTTACCCGTGAGCATGCTCTACATCATTTATTCGAGCAGCATCATGGCCTTTGCACTCCACTACAACAGTTTGTTCCTTCTTACTCTTTTTTCCATGAAATGTAAGAGGAAGAAAATCAAGAACATGCTCAATATAATGGTTTTGGTACTAAGAGCTAAGCGTAAAACGAGGGAGGTTAGTTACAAACTGAAGTAAGAAATGTATACATTGTAGTCTATAATGGAGAGCTTGATCAACCGATAATCCTCACCGCGACTGCATTCAGTCTCACAAGCCAGCTCTTTTGGAAAACAGAAAGAGGATATCAATAAGACCACAAAACACAAGACATTTCAGCGGTTATGAAGAATCCAATGCAGTGAAATCATATCATACTTCTTTTATGGTTCTTAGCTAATTGGCATACAAAGATCTATATCTTGTTCAACAAAATCAAACCCAATGACCATATTTGTTTGTGTTTGCTTGCCCTAGAAAAAGGGAAAGTAAGAAAGGAGTGAAATTTACCAGTGCCATGGAGGCCATAACAGATGGAGCTAGGCATCTGAATGAAATGGCCAGAGATAGAGCCACAAGGCAACAAAGCTATTGATGCTACTCCTTCCCTCACTTCTCCACCTACTTGTTCCTTCTTCTCTATCTCTCCTTCTCTTGCCTCCTCTGCAATTACAATATAACTTTACCCCCAGATTGTCGTACCAAGACGAGTAAAGCAAAAAGAATCAAGCCAGATACTTTACCCATTGTTGAATCTTGATTCCAGTCAGAGAAATCGATTCGAAACACCTCTACTACTAGAACCCAATTGTTCAAAATTTCGCACTTCTAAAAAGTGTACGCCTTTTCGACGTTTACTGCTGTCAACTGCATTAAAACGCTGCGTTTTACGGTTTTGAAACTACGTCGTTTGGCTCACTGCTCTCTATCTTCGCTTGTCTCAGCCCCAGAAGTCAGAGAACAAGCTTGATTCATCCGAGATTGGGGTTCTGGTTTGTTTTCACGCCTGCTTGTTATCTTGGGTATTAGAAATTACGAAGCTTGATAAAGAAATTAGGGTTTGTTTGCTTTACTTTTGAAGTGGGTATTCCTAATCTGTGAAATCATTTCGTTGGTTCTGAAAAATTTCACAACTTTATGCTTTGTTCGTATTGTTCATCTGAATTTATGCTGAAAGAGTATCTTGTCTCTGCAGTTCATGTGTTGAAATTGGTGGTGTAGATTGCTCCTGCTCGGTAATATCCATGGGGGATATCTGGTTGAGTCCTGTCTCCATCACTGCTACATCGAATGAATTGGATTGTGGATGTTACTCCGTTAAGAAGACCACTTGTGTCTGGAGAGCTTGTCATTGGTCTTTGAGTCACTCGTTGGCATTGACCATGAAGCCCAAACGAAGGCGTCTTGTCAATGGTAGTGTAAAAATGGAGTCTTTTTCTTTAGCAACGCCAAGGATGTGTCTCAGGAATGTGAGTAGTGAATTAGACAGATGTGAAAATATGGCTTTTGGTTCGGAATCGGAGGCTGAACATGGATTGGCAGAAAGAGGTAAAGACATTAGTTTTCTTGAACAGAAACCGGAAAATCTTTGCGATTTCTTGGTCGAAAATGGTTTAGAAGAGAAGCTTGCAGCAAATAGGAATAGGATACATTTTCTAGAGGAGAGGAACGAAGAGATGTTATCGAAGAGACTTCTGAAACTTAGCAGGTTGGATAAAGTCAGGAGTGCTTTGGAGTTGTTTGATTCTATGAGAACTTTGGGTTTACAGCCCAATGCTCATGCCTGTAACTCTTTTCTCTCATGCCTCTTGAGGAATGGAAATCTTCAGAAAGTCTTTATCGTCTTTGAGTTCATGAGGAAAAAGGACAACGTCACAGGGCACACGTATAGCTTGTTGTTGAAAACTGCTGCAGAGGTTAAGGGTTGTGATTCTGCACTAAGAATGTTTAGAGAACTAGAAAGGGATCCAAAACATAAGAGTTATTTCGATGTGATTCTATATAACACCGTGATTTCTCTATGTGGACGGATAGATAACGTGCATGAGACGGAGAGAATATGGAGAGTTATGAAAGGTGATGGTCAAATTGGAACAGAGATCACATATTCTCTGCTTGTTAGCATTTTTGTTCGTTGCGGAAGAAGTGAATTGGCCCTTGATGCGTACGGTGAAATGATTAACAACAAAATATCTCTGAGAGAGGATGCAATGTACGGGATGATAAGTGCATGTACAAAAGAAGAAAAATGGGATTTGGCCCTAAAGATTTTTCAGAGTATGTTGAAGAAAGGGATGAAGCCTAACCTTGTAGCGTGCAATACTTTGATCAATTCGCTTGGAAAGGCGGGCAAAGTCGGATTGGTGTTCAAGGTTTACAGTGTTGCAAAATCTTTGGGGCATAAACCTGACGAGTACACGTGGAATGCGCTTCTCACGGCTTTATACAAAGCAAACCGATATGCAGATGTTCTTCAGCTATTTGATATGATAAGAAGCGAAAATCTTTGTTGTGTGAATGAATATTTGTACAAAACCGCTATGATGTCATGCCAAAAGCTCGGTGCTTGGGAAAAAGCTGTGAAGCTTTTGCATCAGATGGAATGTTCTGGATTAACAGTTTCAACTTCATCATACAATCTAGTGATAAGCTCTTGCGAAAAATCAAGGCAATCGAAAGTTGCATTGCAAGTATATGAGCACATGGCTCATAGGGATTGTATTCCAGACACGTTTACGTATCTGTCACTTGTAAGAAGTTGCATTTGGGGTTCTCTATGGGACGAGGTTAAAGATATCCTAAAGGTGTGAGTTTTTTTTCTTTCAGATTATTTAGGTTTGTTAACTCAAATGTGCATTTAGAAGTGAGTTATCTAACGTTGTTTGTTTATTGGACAGAAAGTGGAACCCGATGTGTCGCTTTACAACGCAGCTATACATGGGATGTGTTTAAGACGCGAGTTCAAGTTTGCGAAGGAGTTGTATGTCAAAATGAGAGAGATGGGTTTGGAACCGGATGGTAAAACCCGAGCTATGATGCTACAGAACTTGAAGAAACACTAAAAGTTCAGGTGATAATGCTTTTATCTACTCATACTTATTATTAGTAATGGCCAGTATCATAAGCCAAAATCAAGATAAAATGGACCAAAAAGAAGATTTAAATTTTCTAGTTTAAACCGCAAAGACTGGACATTGTATCCATGGTCAGTGTGAGAATGTTTTGGCTGGCAATGTTCATTATCCTCGGATGCTGTTTGGAGCACAAAGTGGTGATGGTACTGGACATTGTAAATAAAGTAAAGTATATTACGTGTGTGGTTGTAAATTAAAGAATAATAATACGTGTGAATGTAAGATAGGAATAACGTGTGAGAGTGTGTTAGGTGTAGCATAAGTATTACGTGTAAATTAGGTAAAGAATATCTAAAGGAATATGTTGTGTAATATTCCTTAGAGGTTGTAATATAAATAGAGGCTTGGGAAGGCGTTGTTAACCAAGTCAAGTGTGAGAGAAAATAGTAGAGTCTTTGTTGTAATCTTTTGAGTGTTCTGATCAATAAAGCTTCCCCTTGATTATACATCCTTGTTCATAAATATTTATCTTTTGTCCATTTGATCCTGCTAAAAACCTCCTACGTGGTTGTACCCACTATGTGACTGTAAATTTTGGTATCAGAGCCAGGGCAATCTAAACTTGAAACTCTTATCATTCTAAGGGTTTGATGTCTGTGAGTTTTCTTCTATCATAAGCTTTATGGAAAYTATGRTCTATGGTTGCCACTTAGTTGGATCTTCCGTATCAGAAATTCATTAAGCTACGAAAAGAAAGGATATATGTTAAGATGTTCGTGGGGTTATAAAACACATGGAACCTTGAGACTCCAGATGATGAAGTTATTGTCTCGGTTATGTGGCAAACACCTCATGAATGTTTTCGCTTATATTCTCAGCACTTAAAAGAAAAAAGAAAAAACTCGTGGTTTATTAAGTCTGACAGAATAGATAAGAGCTAAAGTATTCTGTCTTGGTCTCTATTTTCAATATGGAAAATACTTCTCTTATTCCACGTCAGTCCTCTTTTAGAAGATCTACCTCTAATAAAATAGATTATGTATATGAAGTAGAATATGTAAGTGATGATACTAAAGTTCCTATCACCCAACTATCTCTTCTCAATCCCTACAAAGCCTTTACGAAACCAAATACCACCCTTCCAAAAGTCTTAAAACATGCCTTCAATCCTAACAAGCACACAGCAAAGGAACTTGTTCTAGCTTCACAGTTGGAACAACATTTGGTGCCAGCAACTGAAATGGAGCAGATGATCCCTCTCCGTCTGAACGAGGTGATGATCCATCAGTAGAGATCCCYAGGTTTCACCCATCTCCATTACGGAGCAATAAGATTGGCGTTAACTCTTCACGGAAGAAAATGTCTACTAGTGGTAGCAAGAGTCGCTCTCCTTGACACCAGATACAAGGAGTATCAGCATGATTGCATAGCCACTCTCCAGACCACTTTAAACGCGGGCACAGTCTTCGTCACCCTTTTTCCAAACTTCAACATAGCGCTTGATGATCCTCAGATCTATCAAAATATGCAAATCCAGTTACAAATCACTGGCGCTCCTCAAGTTGGGAACACATATGCCGCTACTCTTCACCACCAAATGGCGTATAGGGTGCAAAACCATGCAATGGACTTGAGTCTCCCATGTGACACAGAAGATGCACTGCTCATACAATTGGAGTCACAACACAGTCCATCATGCATCCATATACCAAGAAAAATCCCTAAAGATGAGCTGATCAAGCTATTTCCGGAGTCATGGGTAACCAATTATGAAAAACTTCATGAAAACAACACTCCGATACAATCGGTAGACTCCTCTATCAGTAGAAGAAAAGATGGAGCCATCCAGATAGAGTTCAAACAACACGGCAGTACAAGTTCTCGACCTCCAGCCTTTTGTACGAAAATCAATACGATCTCACCACCTGAAGAGCCTCCATCTCTAGAAAATCCGTACCTACCAGGAGTTTCAATCGAATCCTTCAATTCTCTTGGAGACCCTATCTATTCATTCGAAGATAACACAGGACACAACTTCCTTGATGTTTGTGACTGTCCAAACTGCTTGATGAATGAGTCGGATGAAGATGATACTCCAAAACGAAGGAAACAAAAAAAAAGTCATCTCAACAGAAGCTCAGGGAACGATATGAGTCAGGAGACCCAGAAGTTGGCTTTCTTGGTGAACCCAGTGGAAATTTTTTTGAATATTATGTTTTATATTCAAATCAATCAGCTCCAACAACTCCTGAGCCCGAAGATGTCAAAGATTGCTACATGTTTGGTCCGARATCCTCTCAAGYGTCGATCTTCCCATCCCGAGAYTTTGAGRAAGGCAATATGAAACATTCGTGGAAGATCAAAAATCCAAACACAAAAAATCCKGACGGTTCAACGGTGCAGATCAGTGCAGCTGAGGCAACACTAAACTGGCAAACAGAGAATGCGGTGGCACAAAACCATCTATTGAGTCAGATTGACAGGAAGGTATCCATCTTGGATCTTTCTATCAATGAGKTCAACAAAAAGATAGCTTCTCTTCATYATGAACTCCTCCATTTYGCAACTACTGTTTCCATAACCTCCCCTCTCATGCATCAAAAAGAATTAGAGCTAAAAAACCTCAAAGCCCAACTAACCTCCTTACAAAATCAGCAAAAAACCCAAATCCAATTCCCATATGATATCTTCACTCCTTATCTGATTTATAACCCACCATATATGGCCCAAACACAACCCTTATCTTTCTCCCAAGATCCAAGCTATTTTGGTGCATCCTCCTTTTTGCCAACACATGTTGTTAAGAAACAACATATTTCGAAGGAGAAGAAATCAAATGTTGCAGAAAAAGGAGAAACTTCAAACGCGCATATTTATGAAATTCCAAAAGAGCGGGCGCATATTTCTGGAATTCCAAGAGAGCGGTCTTCACCAGAGAAAAGTGAAGCACAATTTATGGTGGAACATGCTAGTAACCCAATATCTACTTTTCTTGAAAAAGTAGCAAAACAAGAAGAGGGTTTCAAGCATCATAAGAAAATCAAGAAGTTGGAGAACCTGCAAGAAAGTTCAGAAGATGAAGTTGAAATTCCAGATTTTCTAATGGTAGAGCAAYCTGTCGAAGAAGAAGATATAGAGAGCGATGGAGAAAACATATCTGACGATAGACAAGAACCTCGAGGAGCACAACCTCCCCCAGATGGTAGTCCAAGAACCTATACTGAATCCCATCATGGTTTCTCTTTTGATAATATTCCACCGGCGGAATAGAGAGACAAGATTTATGAAATGCATGCCTGGGTTACTGAGCAAATGCTTAATCCAGGTGCTACTCTTCCTGTAGTCATTGACAAGATGGTCTCAAAATTCCACGGTCGCCTCCGGCAATGGTGGATCAGTCTTGGACAGTACCGACAAATGCAAATACGTCAGTCACCATCAGTAAATGCTCTAATTGGTCACATCCACAATGAATTTCTTGGTACATGGGATCACTACACCGTCCAGGCAAGAGAAGAATATCTGAATATGAGATGTTCTTACAAGAGGAAGGATTTGGAGAGACATTATGAAAGAATGTCTACGAGATTCTACGCTCTAAATGGGGTAGATGATGTCAGTCTCAAGCAAGCCTACTTGAACTCGCTTCCAGAACCACTTGGAAATGAGACTTCAAGGGTTTTGTCACTCAATAATATGGCCCTTAACCAAGTATCATTGGGAGAGATATACCAGATGTCGCTTGCAGCCTTGAAGAAATTATGCAACCATCAAAAGTTCTTCAAATAGTTGCAAGAGCAAGGAAAACTCCTTAGAAAAGCATGTGATCGCCCAGAACTCTCCATCAAATGCAAGAAAAAGAGCTGTAATTGCTCAACAAGCTACAAAAAAGCTAAGAATCCCAAGAGCAAATGGCGCAAAAGATATCCCAGTTATCAGGAGGAAAGAAATGGAAATTCTTCAGAAGAAAGAAGCAAAGAGGTTTCAAGAAGTCAGAC